TGTCATTTGGGTGATAGTTGATCGGTTAACTAAGTCAGCGTACTTTGTACCTATGCGCACGAGTGACTCAGTAGATTATCTTGCCGACCTTTATGTTAGGAACATAGTTCAACTTCACAGGGTCCCTATGATTGTTGTTTCAGATAGAGATCCGCATTTCACAGCTCGGTTGTGGCAGAGCCTACAGAATGCCATGGGTACTAGATTGACATTTAGCACTACTAATCATCCTCAGATTGATGGGCAATCAGAGCGTACTGTTCAGATTCTAGAGGATATGCTTCGAGGTTGTGTCCTTGACTTTAAGGGGTCGTGGGAGAGGCACTTACCTTTAGTGGAGTTTGCTTGTAACAATAGCTTCCAATTGAGTATTGGCATGGCATCATTTGAGGCCTTGTATGACCGATCGTGTAGATCTCTTATGTGTTAGGCCGAGGTGGTCCAGAGTTAGTCTGGGAAATGACAAAGAATTTTACAGTTATCCGTAAAAGGTTGGTTATTCAGAGTTGTCAGAAGAGCTATGCCAACCGTAGGAGGAGACCGTTATCCTTTGAGGTAAAAGATCACGTCTTCTTGAAGATATCACCTAGACGGAGTTTGATGTGGTTTAGAAAGAGAGGAAAGTTGTCTCATTGATTTATTGGGCCTTTTGAGATCTTAGAATGTATTGGGGAGGTAGTTTATCGTTTCGCCTTGTCGCCACAGCTTTCCGGGGTTCATGACATGTTTCACATTTGTATGCTCCGAAAGTATGAGCCAGATCCATCACACGTATTGGATTGGACCGAGTTAGAGATAGATGAGGATGCCTCGTATGGGGAGATACCATTTAGAGTTTTAGATACTCGAGACCAAGTCTTACGTGGCAAGACAATTCCCTTGGTAAAGATATTGTAGAGACATCACGAGATTGAGGAGGCAACTTGGGAACGTGAGGCGGAAGTTCGTGAGAAGTATCCAGGCTTATTTGGTAATGTTTGAACTTGTATTAAAAACCTTGTTATGTTGAATTAATAAAAACATTGAATATGTTTTAAAAATGTGAATTGTATATTCAGTACTGAGAACTTGTTTACAATTATGATTAGAATAAGTGACCGGTAGAGGGGTCAGGCTTGTGAGTTCAATTTATTGTCATTGGTGTTGTTGTGGATTTAAAATTTCAGGGATGAAATTTCCTAAGGTGGGGAGGTTGTAACACTTGTGTCCTTTAAACTATTGGAGAGTGTATTTAATTCCTTATTTTTATTTTGGGAGTCTTTGGAGTTGTTATATCTTGATTTTGGGGGACTACAATGTGATTTGGACTTGTTAGGGTTGTTCGTTCGCGCATGATTTCGTCGAAAAGTTCTTTAGGAGCTTAGAAATTTTGTTCTGGTGTCGACACCATCTTGCTGCCTTACTCTTCATGTCTCTACTATTTTTGGGGTCGACACCACGGGTTCTGGGGTTAACCCTTGTTTGCTGTTGTGTTCTGGGTGTTGCTACTGATTTTTAGAGTAGACACCACGGGTTTCTAGGGTCGACCCTTGTCTGCTGCAAACATTAGTGTCTTAGCATTTCTTTTTTACGGTCGACACCACTGCCTTGGGGGTCGACCCCTGCGAGTTATTTTCAGATTTTTGGTTCGGTTTTGGGCCATACTTTTGGGGGTTTTTGACTTATTCTTTTCATTGACTCTGGGGCTATTATTCTATTAGCACTTTGTTACTATAAATAGGCTTCAAACACTTGTTCTTTTCACTTTCCTTCTCTTCTCTCTCTCTACATCGTGAGTTTCTCTTTTCTCTCTCTAAACTCAAACTTTTTCACTTAGATCTTTAGATCTACTCACCTAGAGTCATCTTTTCACCTTGGTCCTTTGAGAAAGGTTGTAGATCTTTTCAAGGGCATTCTTTTGATCCAAGAGCTTCATGATTTTGCCGACTTTGAGTTTTTTCGAGTTTTCCTCTTCACTTCTTGATGTAAGGATTACTTTGACTCTTTTTATCATTTTTAAGTTAATTATTTATTTTTCTAAAACAAGATTGTGATTTAGGGATTTTTGGATAAAAGTCGAGGGTTTTGGTTTTGAAATCAAAATAGGGGTTTTCAAAAATAGGTTATTGTATATGGTTGTGGCCTTGTAAAAATGGTTGGTTGCGATAAATTGTGAATTTTATCCATAAAATTAACTTTTAAAGAAAATGGGGGTTTTGCCCTAAATTGTGAAAATTTGATTTTTGTAAAGAGAAATGGAACGGGTGTTGGTTCTATGGAATTGAAACAATGATGATGATGGAAATGGAGTTGGATATGAATTATCACTCCTAATTGGAAATGATGGAAAAGTATATCTATGTTGAAATTTAATTATCTGTTTAGAGATATCTATTTTGGGCTATCGGTGAAGGATAGCTATGATTGTTGTAAAAATTGCATGAGAACTAGGTAAATTGAAACTAATTTTCTCATCCATTGCATTGAGCATTGTAACATGTTTACTCATTGAAAACGGTTATCATTTTGAGAAAAATTGGTAAATACCTTGGTGAATCAGGGTAGGTGTGTTGTTATGGTATTATGTTGGCCTGAGTGTCCTTGGTGAAAGTCCAAAAACCCACGCGGTTAGGTGTCGAGTCTTCCGATTAATACCGGTAAAAATGACAAATTAGTAGTGCTTGTAGCCTATATGCAGACACATCCTAGAGATTCCTAATGTTGTATTCACTACCCTGTTTTCTCTTGAAAAGGAATTGATTGCATAAATTGTGATATAAACTTGGCATTGCATGGTTTTGAAAAGAGATATAAAATATTTTGGCACAAGCATTGCATATGCAACTACCTTATAACTCTGCTAAGGTTCATACACTGTGCTAGAGTATTTTTACAGGGTTTTGGCTCACCCTATGCAGGAAAATCATTTTCAGGTGCTGATGATATACCTTCGCTAAGGCAATAGCTTGGGAGGATTTGGAGCAAGAGTTTCATTTTGTTTATTTGTTGTATTTATTTTGTACAAGCCTAGGGTTTTATTTGTATTAAGTTTAATCTCACTTTCAACCAAGTATTGTCTTGAAAAGTTGTAAGCCTTTAGGACATTTCTTATTTATTTTAAATCTTATTTCATATTTTTAACTTGTAACACGTGCTATAGATTTAGGGTTAGGACTTGTGAATGTATAATCGCATATGCTACCTTTTGTACCACAGGATTATATAAAATGAAAGGTTACATATTTCAGAAAACTATATTTACAAATTGTTATTATTTATTAATATTGTGGATAGTTTATTGTAATTATTTCAGGGTGTTACATTAAACCTAATATTTTTATTTTCATTCTAATATGATCCCTCCATCACTTATTGTTGCTATTTTGAATAGAAAACCAATGTGTGAATATTATTTGATTTTTAATTTTTGTGGTTAGAGCCACCCTAATCCTGAAATGAGAAGACTTGAGTTACTCTAGCAAGCCCGTCATGTCGTGCCTTGTTGTGTTGAATCATAAAGTTTGTTAGTAGTAATTGTTGTGAGAGTTTAATCGGTTATAAAGGGTATTTACATGCTAGTAAAATAAGTTTCAAATTCGACCCAATAAAATAGTTGTTGCATGTTATACTAATCTAAATGTACTATTCTACTAAATGATTTATGCTTCTGTGATTTATATTATAACATTAAGTAAAAAAAATGAAGAGTATTGGAGTTGTTCCATTGCTGCTCTTCATTTTTCACTAGCTTAAGTATGAAAAAGATATATTCTTTATTTTACCTAATTAAATTTTTGTTCACAAAAGGGGACCCTTTTATTAGATCCTTTTATTTATGGGTCCTCTTTTATTTTTATTTTACCAACATTCCACGACTACTGTTCGCCTTTTGCGTATGTATTGCACTCCAAGGTACTCCTCCTCCATAGGTCTTAGAATATCCATGCCCAACAACTTTCATCAATTCTTCTACCATTTTGTAAATAACTTTCAGATATTAGTCACTTTGTTTCAACATTTAAATAAAACTCAGATTTGTAATATTTGTTTTGAGGACCTTAAACCACTATTTTAGCCACTATACATCAGTTGGGACTCATTTTCCAACTTTACTCAACAACCAAACATTGAAAAGATAAAATCCAAATGTATAATCAGTTCCTAATGGGACCCAGATTATAAAAAACTTATGCATGCACAATTTTTAATTTTTTTTAACTGCAATTACAAAAAATAATAATAATAAATCTTTGAATTGGGATTACTCTTCCTCTTTGATTAAAGAGGAAAAAACAAAATAAAAAAAATAAATAACAAATTGAACTCAAGAAACACAAGTCATCGAACTGCCTAAGACAATGAATTTTTATAGTTAAACAAATTGTACTTATTGAAAGAGTAGAAACACGAAAACAACTGATTCGAAGCCAAAAATCCCAAGTGCCAATCAAATCAGATACAATTAAAAAAGAAATGTCAATGATAATGTTTCAATGCCTCAATTTTTAATATTTACCAGCTTTATTGCAAGAGATAGCCAGCAACCAAAAATACTTCTTCGAAGCCAAAGATCCCAAGTGACAATCAAATCAGATAAAATTAAAAAAGAAATGTCAATGATACTTCACCAGCTTCATAGCAAGAGATAGACAGCAAACAAAAATGACAACTCCTATCAAAACTTTATCTCTTTCTACCATGGAATTTAACCTCTATTTCTAATTCAATCATGGCCAATAGACAAATCCCAGACATTAAATTCATATATCCTAAAAATGCTATTATTCTGTAACGCCCTCAAAATAAATGAATGTCACCCAGCATATTTGCCATTACATTATGTTTTATTATTTTCACATGGTGAGCTTGGATGGGAACCTGAGATGAAACTGTGGGATGTTGAACGTGATCGGCCTTCAACTGATCGGCTTACTCAAATGGATTTTTATAGTTATCGTTTGTTTGAACGACCCATAGAGTATTCAACAATTTTGAGAGTTGGAAAATTGTTCCAAGAGTTTATGGTTAATGCTTGGGCTGCAACTGAACAAAATAGGTTGACTTACTACAAGCTTAATCAAGGGAAGATCCGTGCTGAACTTTACCAAGATTTGACAGATATTGATCCAAATGACTTTCAACCCAATCAAATTGGTCAAAGGTTTGTTTTGCCACCTTCATTTCCTAGAGGTCCTAGACATATGTTTGAAATCTTTCAAGACTCAATGGCTATCACACGATACAACCAACTTCCAGACATTTTTCTCACCATGACTGCAAATCCTAATTGGCCATAAATTACTTCAGCATTATTACCGCACCAAAAGCCTATTGATCGTCTTGATTTAATTGCCCGTGTTTTTGAGTTAAAGAGAAAGTGCTTGATGAAGGAGATAGAAACAAACCGAGTGTTTGGTAATAAAGCTGCGCATGTTTTTACAATTGAATTCCAAAAGCGAGGCCTTCCTCATATGCATGCACTTCTATTTCTTAAGGGTCCAGACAAAATTCGGACATGTGCTCAAGTAGACAAATTGGTTTGTGCAGAATTTCCAGATCCAAAAGATGAACCTATGCTTTTTGAAACTATCAAGTGTTGTATGGTACATGGACCATGTGGTGCTCGAAATCCACAAGCTCCATGTATGGAAAATGCTAAATGCACTAAGAGATACTCTCGAGCGTTCGCAGAAACAACTACTATGGATCAAGATGGATATCCTATCTATCGTCGTCGCAATAATGGTCAAGCTCATATTGTGAGGGGGAAAGAAGTTGATAACAGAGACATCGTACCATACAATGCATATCTTTCTAAACGTTTCAACTGTCACATAAATGTGGAAGTTTGTGCCGGAATGAGATGTGTGAAGTATATACACAAGTACATTTATAAGGGTTATGATCGTACAACGATGGTGTTGGGATTGATAAATGAGATCCAACAATATCTCATTTGTTAGAAGATGATGAAGAATGTATACAATGCCTTAAAGAGGCTGCAGTTATGAAAACTGGTTATCAATTAAGGAGATTGTTTACTATTATTCTTACTCAGTGCTCTCCACTGCAACCATATGCGTTATGGAATCAATTTTCAATGCATATATGTGATGATCTTGCACATAAGATTCGAACATTGTTTGCCATTTCTGAACCAACTAAGGCTCAAATTGAAGACTATGGTCTATATCTTTTGAATCAAATGCTCCAAGAATCAGGAAAAAGTTTAATTGACTTCCCGCCAATGCCACAACCTTCTACAAATTGGAGTGCAGTAGTTGGTAATAGGTTGATATTCGAACATCAACAACTGCATAGTGAGGCACAACAGGCAGATGCAGAAATTATTATTGATCGCCTCAACAATGATCAACGAACAGCTTATGATGCAATCACTTCCTTAGTCTTTGAAAATAAAGGAACTATTTTCTTTTTGAATGGAGGTACCGGAACAGGGAAAACGTTTTTGTACAATGCGATTGCATTAAAGTGTCGCAGCCTTGGCCATATTGTTATTACTGTAGCTTCATCTAGAATTGCATCATTGTTATTGGTAGGAGGTCATACTGCTCATTCAACATTTTCCATTCCGCTGGATGTATTGGAAAATTCAATTTGTGGATTTAGCAAGCAATCATTACAAGCAGAATTGTTTAGAGAAACAAAACTTATAATCTGGGATGAAGTTCCTATGCAGCATAGACATTGTGTTGAGGCAGTTGATCGTACACTTCGGGACACTTGTGATAGTGAAAAGCCATATGGGGGTATCACTGTTGTTCTTGGTGGAGATTTTCGACAAATCTTACCAGTTATAACCAAAGGAGTCCGTGAGCAAATTGTGAATGCATTATTAAGATACTCTTTTCTATGGAAAGATACACATGTTCTGTCTTTAAATTTGAACATGCGCTTGAATCATGCAAATCTTGGAAATGCTAATTTTGCAAAATTCTTGATGGAGGTAATATTTCTTCAAACTTTTTCTCTATTATATAGTTCTTTTAAATTGACGAAATACATTTACGTTTATGTACTTTAATTGATTTTACTTACTATTTTATTTATTTATTTTCATAAATAGATTGGGACAAATCCTCAGGAAATTGTTAAACTTCTATCAACAATACACAAATGCCAAGATCTAAAAGACTTAATCTCAGTAGTTTATCCGCAACTGGATGTGGCAATGACATCGACTGCAACATTTTTAACTGAACGTACAATTCTTTCTGCACGGAATGATGATGTCAGTGCTATCAATACTGCAGCATTGAATATTTTTCCCGACAACATACATACTTATTTGGCAGCAGACAAGATGTCTGAAGATGATGAAATTGATCGTACTATAATAAATAGATATCCTAATGAATATTTAAATTCATTAGATCCTCCTGGTTTACCGGCTTTTAAGGTAGAGTTGAAAGTGGGTTGTCCTATAATGTTGTTAAGAAATATTGCACCAAAAGATGGACTGTGCAATGGCACAAGATTGATAGTTTCTAGATGCAATACTCGCATAATTGAAGCTCAAATTTTAACTGGAGAAAAATGTGGCAATTTGGTATTCATACCAAGGATATCCTTGACACCGTCTTCTTCAGAAATGCCTTTCCGAATGACAAGACGTCAATTTCCAGTTCGATTGGCATATGCCCTGACCATTAATAAATCTCAAGGGCAATCTGTGAATTTTGTTGGAGTTGATTTGCGCACACCAGTGTTTAGTCATGGGCAATTGTACGTGGCCCTATCTAGATGCACATCATTTGATCGTATAAGTGTCCTCCTTCCCAATGATGAGCCAGATTATACTACAAACATTGTTTATCCTGAACTTTTGTTATAGTGTTACTTATGGATCAAACCACTTTTGTCAAAAGGTACAATTTATTTATTGATAAATTTGTTTCAATTGATTACAAATTATTATTTTTAAAATATTTTACTATATGTGTCGACTTTTGTAGGATTGGGTTAAAAAATATATAGAGCTCAAAAATATAAATACAACTAGATTGCTTCGTTGGGATGTAACAAGGTAATTTCAATTTGAAAGTGTTTTGATATATATATAAATTTTCTTTTGCTAATATACTAACTTTTTTTTTTTTTATTTTCATAAATTAGTAGATTGTCGTGCATGCTTCTCACTGGGGATACATACAAGTTGATACGAAGACTTTTTGGAAAGTGATGAGGCGCTCCTAGGATTTCTAAAAAAGAACAAGTTTGAATCTCATATTTATTTTTGTGAAAAGCGTACATATGCTAGCTATGATCCATATTTTGTAAAGTTTCTGATCGATGTGAAATTTATAACTAAGTTTAGATGTATGTTAGATAATATTCATTTGAATTATTGATTTATGCTATGAGTTTGTTTTTGTAATTGTAACACACTATGTGCTATATATATTTTTGTTTTTTTGTTTTTTCTTCCTAATATGCTCTTGAATTAGGTTAAACAAAACGAATCATATTTTTATTTGGTTATCTTTTTATCAGGAAGGGTGTTGCATTTTCTTTGTATTACAGAACATTGCCTGGTGTGCTTAATTTGTTATTTGGCATTTTTTTTGTATTGCAGAGCACTGGCTGGTGTGCTTAATTTGTTATTTGGCATTTTTTTTGTATTGCAGAGCATTGACTAGTGTGCTTAATTTGTTGTTTATTTTTTTCTATTGCATAGCATTGGCTAGCGTATTTCGTTTGATTTTTATATAGATGTTTCTGTGTTGTGGGATTTACATTTTGTTGTTTGTTTAAAATCTTATGCTTTTGTTGTGTTTGAATGTTACGTAGCATTTATGTGTTTACTTTTCACTATTTCGTTTACCTATAAATTTGGAAAATTTATGTTCAAATTGATTTATTCACCAAGTAGCATACAATTTATTTATTTTTCATTTATTTAATTTTCTGCACAATAACTGACCACCAAACCATCAAAATTGGTAGATTTTAACCATTACATTAAAATTGATGCAAAACTATAGCTTTGAGATCTCTCTTCTTTACTTCAACCAAAACTCACTATCTAAAAAAATACGGATATAGAAATTTATTTGGGTACTGTTATTGGCTAGGATAATAAAATGCTTATTTTCTATTATAAATTGCAAGTGGGTTACATAAACAAAAATACTACTATAGTAAATATTTGATGATATGATCTTTGTTTGCATTTGTGTCATCATACTACAATACTCCAAACTCTTTTAAAAAATCTAATTATAAAATTCATTTGAAAATTCAAAACCATACGGATCATCTATTTATATTTTCACCTCAAATTTTTTTTCCCAACAAATTAAATAAATTACATTTTAACCCAATAATTTTATATTCAATTACATTTTCATATATTAGTGGTCACCGTGCCTTCAGGCACGGGTATACCCTAGTAAATAAATAAATAAAAGGCCCGAGGATTATAAAAAGCAATCAACCCATAAAAAAAGAGAGGATTAATTAAATTCTTTGGGGTGTCCATGTATGACATAGCATAGTTTAAAAAAAAAAAAATACAAAACTTGAAAACTGGCCGAAAGGGACCAAGGCCAAGAAATAATCTCATCCAAAATCTAAAGAGGTAGATAAAAGTGCCAAATTGTCGTGAATCACACAATTAAGAAAATTCACTTGTGCAAGTCACAAGGAGACATTTATTTGCACATAAATTTCAACCAAATTTATGTTTAAATTTCAATTATAGTCAATTAGTTAATGACACACATAAGCTTGTGATAGGATTGTTGTAAGTAATCACTTCCTAAAATGATCAACTTGATCCATTGAAGTGCACAAATAAAACGACGTCGTATCTCAGTGACATTATTCAAGATACTCAAATGACACATGGAGCCTACGAAATTTGTACTTATGCTGATTAACCATATCTAATTAATCAGATATGCATATTTGATTAATCGTATATCTGATTCATCGTATTGTTCCTTTGGACTTCATCTCGTGTAGTGTCCTTACTGTAGGCTCTACAAGTGTCATCTTTCATAGGGTCCACGTGTCATTTTGGTATCTTGAATAACGTTGTTGAGACGTTGTTTTATTTGTGCACTTCAATGGATCAAGTTGATCATTTTGGAAAGTGATTACCTACAACAATCCTATCATAGGCTCTATGCGTGTCATTAACTGATTGACCATATTTGAAATTTGAACATAAATTTGGTTGAAATTTATGTGCCAAGAACATGTGGTGCCAAGCTTTGTTTACGTTTTATTGATAATAGATGTTTGGTGCACTTATGATGGCCTTAGAATTGGACATTTCATTTTAAAAACCAAGATACTGTAATTTTGACTATAGAGGAATATGTATAAATTTACATTGTTTTTATTTTGTCATTCTAAGTTATTTTATTCAAACTCGTAATGTATTTATTGTGTGTAGTGTTGGGAAGTGTTTGATGAGCATCATGCAATGTTAGTGTCGGACATGGTGTTGGACATGACACTTTACCTTATTAGAAGTATCCATGCTACAATGCATAGCTCTAAATGAAATCATGTTAACTATCATTCTACAATTAAATAGAACAATGATATTTGAGCACAACATACCTTCACATATGGATATTTATCTATGATTTGAGGCACGAGATGCGATGATTTATGATGGATTAATCAAATGTAAATTGAAATGAAATATAAAGAAAATGGTTAATTAAAGTAATGAAATGAGAAAAGATTAGGATAATTAGAACATTGGCTTTGTGATACTTATGCTCTATTAGATTTGGATCTCAACGGTTTCCCTGCGTTTTGTTTTTATTTTATTTTTGATTCTTCTTGCAAAGGATCTTGGGCATTCTCTGGCTTGGAGATAAGGTGTTGTAGATAATTTTTTCATCAATATGGGATTTATATTTATTTATTTTATTTAAGGAAATTGTTTTCTGATTTGAAACCATATGAAGAGTAGTCGTGGAATGTTGGTAGCATAATATAATTGATTATGCTTTAGAAACTAGAGTCTCTTTATTTTTTTTCATTAGTAGCTATTGTTTGTTTAATGAATAATTCTCTATAAGATAATCAAGAAAAGAAAATGGTAATAAGATTTTTTCCTAGTTTAGAACATTGGGATGCATGATAGTATGACTGTTTATAATTTTTATTGAACAATTGATTAATATTGGTCAATCCATCCGATAAATTGCACAATTGATTGGTGTGGACAATCCTTCCAACTGATTCAATTGGACAATCGATTGGAGTGGCCAATTCTTCCAATCAATTTGTTAATCGATACTTTTGAAATCTGATATCTAATATTTGAAATGTGTATGAATTCCAGATATGAAGTTTTGTTAAGTACTTGGTATATTGTGGGATGAATGGTGATGCTAAACTCATGTAAGCACATTATAGCTCTGTAACTCATATTATCACATATGCAAGCAGTGGTGATTTGCAGAATGGTGGTGAGTTGTGGTGCATAGCTAGTGTGAGTAGTGGTTTGCACAGTAGTTTTTTTTTTTCTTTTTCTTTCTTTTTATTTATTTATTTATCTTTTTTTATTTTTTATTTTTATTTTTTTTACTTCAAATGAGTTTTGTTATGGGGTAATGCTCTTCTTTGTCAAAAGTTGAGTATTATTTTTTATAGATTAGCCATGGAAAGTTAGTTTTCTTTTACATTTTTTAAGTGATCTCAGTAATGAGAATTGCCACTTTATCTTGCTATCCTTGAGAAGTGCTCTGACTATCGTGGATTTGGTGCTCCTTCATTTCTAAAGGACATATTTTGTGCTGGTGATTCTTTTGTTTTTGACTTCTTTTGGACATAGGAATTAACATTAAATGGGAATCTTTGGTTATGTAGAAATTAGTTTTTAAGTCATGTAGTAATTAATTGGCAAATTTGTAGCTAGCATCGACATTTGAAGAATGTCCTCATTATGCCTAGCTTTTTGTCCTTCTGCCTTTAGGTGATTCTTAGCAACTCAAGTTTTCTTTAATTTTCCTTCTCAAGCAAACACCTAGGTTAGGAACTCTCTCCCTTACAATTGTTTATTAGCTCATCACTTTCTTTCTTGAAATGCAATGGGTTAATGAATATTAACAATGAACGGGCTAATGTTTTGAAAATTTCAGGAATATTTGTTTTCTAGACGAGCTTGGTACTATAAGTGGTTGGGCACAAAATGTATCCATATTGCAAGAGTACAGAGCAACTGATTGCACAATTGGTTGTGTACCATTATCAGCCAAGTCTAAACTATACAAATCTGCTCCTAATCGATTGCACAATTGATTGTGAAATTGTAGTGTGAAAGGTATTGAATAATAGCATTTTTAGGATATATGAATTTAATGTCTGGGAAGAAGAAGACTGATAGAGAGAGAGTATTCTCTTTGGGGAAGAAGTTGCATACCTCTAACGTTCGTCCTCCTCCCTATTTCAAGGCTGGCCATGCAGCCTCAAGATTATGCGCGCACTACCTCTACTGTCCTTCCCTGGACAGGTGGCAGTACTTGCCTCTCACCACCTTACGCGTGTAAAGGCTTAGTCCTCCCACCAGTACACGCAGAACTGTCCAACGGTATTGGCGCATGCTTGGAGCTGATTTCCTCTATCCCTCACGCCATTGGTCCAGGTGGCACACTCGACCAGAATACCACGACCAACCTATCACTCGTGGAGAGTTTCCATCACGTGCACACTACCGAGCTATGCACCGCCAGACTGTCCCTTGCGAAGGGGCCAAAGGGCGACACTCATGGCCGTGCTGATATTGACCGGTTCATTAGGCTAACCGGTTGTGAGGTATGCCGGCCTCCACTCGTCCTACCTTTATTCTCGGTCACACGAAGCCCACTTATCTCGGCTAGTCGGTCAGAAGCGTGCCGGCCCTAACCGCGTCCACAGTCTAGCCCGAGTTGCTCTTAGCTTGGTCATCAGACACTGCTACGCCCTCGGCCACGTTATAGCTTGGCCAGGCATTGGTTCGTGTTCGGCCGGTCTTCTGCTCAGCAGCGTGCGGTTTGTCATGATCGGCGTTATCGTAGCTCGGCCGTACTAACGCGCAAATCTCTTCTCTTAATTGACCCTTAACCCCATCCGACCTAGTCGTGACTGGGGTTACCATCGTGACCGAGCTAACGGATGAGTTACGCCATCACCAAGCCGAGCATGATTGGGGGCATATCTATCGCCGATCTGTCCCGTTTGGTTGGTCGTTTTCTCCGCAGTCTCGTCAAAGGTCGTACAGTCGTACTGACAGCCGCGTTTCCAGTGCCACATGGCTTCACGCCGTTGGGTTGTGCAGCCAGCTGTCCTACACGCGCAGAATTCAAATGGCGCAGCCGTTTGGGGTTCGTTCCCCCCTCTTTTGTATTCCAACAAAGGGCCTACAACCCTTCACTTTTCACCTTCTCTTCCACACAAACCCTAAACCTCTCAAACCTTCGAAACCCCCAGACCACTGCCATTACTGTCTCAATGCTACATGCTCCATTTCAGATCCTTTCAAAGGCCACAATCAAGCTCTTGAGGTTGCGTTCACCCTCGCATCTGTCCCCCTGGTAAGCTACACTACCCTCCCTTGCATTTTCTGTTTCTATTTCTCAAAATTTTTTATACATGTTCTTCGATTCCGTGCCACTGTGCTTCGTGTTTTTTTTTGTTTGTGACCACCAGAGCCCCCTTTCTTTGCTTAGAACCTGCACACCCTAGGGCAAATGGGAACTTTGAGAATGGAAGGGGCCTCTGAGCCCCCTGTTCCTCCTTGGTTCAAACGAGTTCGCCCCACTTCTGGGATGAACAGTTTAAATCCGGGTAGAACCGAGCTAAACGCTCATTTAGATCCATAGGTAGAGCTATAGCCGAGCAAAAACTGGTTTGTGGCTTCTTACCGAGGTCGCAATCGAGCTGAATACTTTAATTAGATTGGTAAATAGGAACGCACCGAGCTGAATACCCTAGCCGAGCTGAATACTCCATTAGATCTGCAAATAGGAATGAACCGAGCTAGGAAATCGACCAAGTGGTCTAGCCGAGGTAGGGGTCGAACCGGCCAAACACTAGTGACCCTTTCATTGAGCTAGTTGCAATAAGAGCCGCACAATTTTTGCCGTGCTAACCCTTGGAAATTATTTTTAATAATGCAGAACACACTAGGACCGTTCAGGCCAGTCCAAAACCATCATTGGTGGAGCTCAAGGTCCGAGCAAATACACCATACTTTTTGACCGAGATAGTCAATAAACGAAATAAAACTGAGATAAATGGGGAAGTACCGATTTATGGTTAGCTCGCCCGGCGCGATGGCGGAGTTTCGACGGAGTACAACATCCCAGATGACGTCGTCTTAGAGCTCGTCAAAAAGGGAGACACCCCTTGGGGAGATCTAGACCGGTGCCCCTTTATCGTCGTATCAATAGTAAAGGGAGGGCTCCGCTTCCCGGTTCAACCCTTGATCTGTGAATTTTTGAGGCAGACAAGGCTTTGCCCGACCCAAGTTTCAAATAACACTTACAAAATAATAAACGGGGTCGCCGAGCTGAACCGGATGCTCGGTCTCAATCTCTGTCTGGCCGAAATTTTCCATCAGTATAGTCTAAGTAGCACTACTACAAAAATAGATAAAGATCACACTTTTTTTGTGTGATGTATATTATTTAATCACACTTTTTAAGTTTTATTAAAGTGTGATCTTTGGAAGTGTGATTAAAAGGGATCATTTTTAATCACACTTTTTAAGTGTGATTAATAACATTTAGATCACACATTTTAAGTGTAATTAAAAATATTTAGATCACATCTTTTAAGTGTGATTAAAAATATTTAGATCACGCCTTTTAAGTGTGATTAAAAATATTTAGATCACGCCTTTTAAGTGTGATTAAAAATATTTAGATCAAACCTTTTAAGTGTGATCTTTGGTAGTGTGATTAAAAAAGATCATTTTTAATCACACTTTTTAAGTGTGATTAATAACATTTAGATCACACCTTTTAAGTGTGATTAAAAATATTTACATCACATCTTTTAAGTGTGATTAATAATATTTAGATCACATCTTTTAAGTGTGATTAATAACTAATAAAATCTGTGATAAAAAAAAATTCAACATATTTGAAAAATAATCAATATTATTTTTTATGCACATTTGAAGAATGTAATACACACTATATACTATATTTTGAATCATAACCACATATTGAATAGAATAACGTCATATATTTCATAAATGAAAATTAAATATTCAAAAGTATATACAAAGGAATTAAATAATAAAAAATTAACTGTGCTTACATATATTAAAAAATGAAAAAACTTAAAAAAACTAAGTTCTTTAATTCTTGGACCATATTTTGCATCTCTCCAAAAAAATTCTGACCTGAAAAATAAAAACACAAATTAATCCAGAAACCGCTGATGCATATGAATAAACTAAAAAGTTAATTCAGCAAACCAAAATAGACACATTAATTATTTCTGCTTGATCTTAATTCTTTTGGAAGTAACTTCCCTGTTAACAATTATTAGATGCCACAGCAGCTCAGTGTCAATGACGTTGTAATTAGAAGGTCACTAATGAGCACAATATTTAAAAATGATAAATCTCAATACAGCTTGTGTACGATCTTTTTGTGAATATATATTATTATTACTGTTGAACCATAATTCTAGGTACCCATAAATAAATAAATAAAAACTCAAGAATTTACTGTTTTTTTTTTGGGGGGGGAGATACATTGCAGTTACTATCACCAGCACCAGCAGCAGGTTTTGAAGAAGCAGAAGTTGCATTTTCTTTTGCACCTTTGGAGGAAAAAGAGGAAAAAACAGCTACCCATTTCATGCATGTCTATCTACCAAAGAATAACTGCAAACACTAACAATTGGCACAAGCGTATAGAAAATCATAAAGAAAATACATTATTATCTCAAAATACCTAGCGAAGCATTGTAGCCTCAGATTCAATTCCTCCAACTCCCCAGCCAACAACTCCTAAGCCAGCAATCATATTTGTATGGGAATCAGTTCCAACCACGCTATCAGGGTACAGAATGCCATTTGTGTAGAAAATAACCCATCCAAGGTATTCAAGATTAACCTGAAAATTACCAGAGTCACTTGCTAAATGCCAAAAGTACCAAATAATATTATAGTGCTAAAAAAATGAGAAAATTTGGACTATGATTTACAAGAGGCTAGAGGTAAATGTGGCTTTACTCTAGAAGCCCCATAAATAGTTAAACATTGCAAACCTCATGTATTGAGCCTATACCTATCTAATGTTTTGGCCCTTTTAAGAGTAAACCATTCGTACCACCTTAAGGTCAAATTCTTGCACCTTGCCATGAGAATTTTCCTTTAACAACAGTATAACATCTAGATATAGAAATACCCTTGATGCACTAATGATGCCAAAGTCTTACCTGGTGGACAATACCAGAACCAGGAGGAACAATGAGCATATTGTGAAAAACATTAGAACCCCACTTCAGAAAAACAAACCTCTCCTTGTTTCTCTGAAATTCAAGCCCCATATTTGCCTGCATTGCATTCACTTCCTGCCACATCAACCTAAACAGAATGGTCAATGACAAGATCCACTGGAACCTGGACATAACATTTATGTGTGTAAACAAATATTGGTTATATTAATTTATTAGTGTGAGATTCTAACAAATTAAGAACAACTCAGTTGATTGATACATGTGAAGGTTAAGTTGGAAATCAATGGTACATTCAAGAAAGCAGATTTTTTTGCCTAATATTATTTGCCGACTCCCAATGAAGGTCAGCAAGTGGGCCGAGCAGAAAACACATTAAGGCAACATGCAGTCAAGACCCTACTACCAAACTAAATATTCAAAGCGCTCAAGGCCATCACCTTGCATTGTTCGTTCATGGCCAAGAGCTGGGCCTCTTTTTTGTCAAGTAGAGCGGTCAACCTCACATTTTCTACCATAAGTTTCTGGACTTCAGTTTCTTTCTGCATTTTCTCATTGTTCAGTTGTGTGGTCTTTTCAACTAACCTGCTTCCAAACAAAATCAAATTTATCATTTAACCAGAGTCGGTGTGGCAGATATCAGTATTATTAAGAAACAAAATGGTCGGCCCATTAAATTAGTCACATATTCTTCAATAGAAACACCAAAATATGGCAGTGACACCTTCCATACTCATAGCTTCTCCAAAATTAGGTTCTGTGGTACTGGCTACTGCTGCTGCTGCTGTTGTTACCTTCTTACTGAAGCTTGTTGTCTGCTGTTGCTTGCCATTTTGCTGGTGCTTAATGATCTGATGTTGCCTGCTGTCTAAGAGGATGTGGTGGTTGTTTTATAGTCTGAATTTTTATTTATTAGTATAGTTATGTGGTGGTTGTTTTATAGTCATATTCTTAAATTTAAAAAATAAATAAATATAAATAAATCAAACTGATGTAGCCAAAATGATATGTAATGGGTCTCAACAAATTTTAAACTTCACAGAACAAGGTAAATTTTTTTTAACTTATTCCATCAACATAGCAGTTCAGTCTTGTTCTGAATCTAATTCTAAAGATACTCAACAGCTGTACAAAGAGAAATCAAAGTACCAAACCAATTAAACAACTAAACATAAAAAGAAAAAGAACATTAATATGTACATCTATACTATACTAAATAAAAGGAGAAAATTTGGTGTATCATTTCGAAGTTTCCATACATTTATCCCATATTCATTCATACTGAAAATTTTTTATTGCACATACTCCCAATGAAACACCCTGTATTTTCCTTTTTTTAACAGCAACAAAAAGAATATAATTTCCAGCTGACAAAATTCTTGTTTAAATTACTACCAGTCTACCACAACTATATCAACTCAGCCTATAAGAGAGAATGAGACTGAGTTATGACTTACAAATATTATTTTGAGGAGGATTATAGCTGACAACAATAATTATGGTGGTGATGGTCGAGTTAGACATGGACTTGAAGACAATGGTTAACCTCAATCAGTTCACATTTCGTAGTAAACAAATTTATGAACAAAAACTCAAACCCCACCACTGACCAAACAATGATTACACTAAACAGCAAAATTGTGTTGGATCTAATGTAATTCAACAATAAAAAGCACATTTTCCCTCAAGCTTTTCATGTCCTTTCTTCGCATCGTTATTACGAGCATCATACATCACATTAAACTACGTACCAATTAGTGAGGCTCGAAACACCCATTTTACTTTGGGTGTAGCATTTATGTACCAATTGGGCTACAAGACGCATGGTGCCCTCTAGTTATATCAATTTGCGTGCAACTGTTAGTTGCAAATGATAAAAGTCACGTAGCTTGCTATGTTTTGGAGAAGATTGAGCTCCTTACGTTCCCCAGAGTCCTCGGGGTAAGTTCTTGTCATCACTGCAACACTGAACGTAACAATAGTGACCTATGATTCACAAACAGAACTAAAATTTCACTAAAATGTCCGATTGTTTCACTGAAAGTTTCCATCAATGATTAAATAGTTTTGGTGATAATTCAGTTCTTTTTTCTTTTTCCTTTTCTTGGTAGTGATAATTCAGCTCACATATAGCTTCTTACAACATCTCCAGCAAGGCTAGTTAAAATAGCTATTTAAAACTTCACTTTACTATTTTAGCTAGTCATTTTTTTAATATACACTCCAACAAGGCTATCTACTTTAGCTATCTTCTATTAAAATATTCTTATACTTTCACTACCTTATTTCTAATCTAAAAAAAAAAAAAACTAACTTCTTTTGCAGTGCTGGAAATAGGAGCAAACCATATATTCACAATTGAAAAAATTAAGAATAAAGCAGCTGGAAATAGGATGCTCATCACCACTTCATTCATCAATTCCATGGCTGAATCAACACAATCCACTAATTTCTTGTGTTCCCTTGCTTTTGCAGTGCTGCTCATCACCACCATCATCACCACCATCCTCGCCACCACCACCAGGAGACTTG